TCCTCTAACTCGCGAGCTCTAACCATGCTTTTGAAGCTGCCGGACAGTCTGCCTGTCGACTGAGTGACCGGTAATGGAATGACTACAGTTCCCACAGGGGCAGCCTTAGGAAGCAGTGTCCAGCTGGGCCTCTCTAAAATGTGCTCCATTTAAATCCTCAGACACCCAGCTAATACTTTCAGACAGACCAGGCACTTCCTAATGCTGTTTGTCCTTTATTTGAAATGTGTTCCTGGCTACTGGGCTTTGGAATTCTCTGCTATTCAAGTCTAAAGATAGGTGTAAAAAGCCTGCAGCAAGTGCATTTGAAAAGGGATTAGAAGTAGTATGTAAACGCTTTGTAAAGACGACAGTTTAAAGGAAAAGGTCAATTACGGCCACAGACACAACTGCTACCCTGGGGCATCACGCCGATTCACTGCCGTTGATAGGAATACGAAATATATTTCCTTTAAAAACAGATGCATGGAACTAAAAGAACTCACTCTCTGAATTGCACTATGGGTGAAGAATGTCCACTGGATACCAGGGCTGCCAAAAGAACAAATCCATCTGTCTTGGCAGAAGTCCGGCTACAAGTGCGGGCGATGAGACTTCATCGAATGCACCCAGGATGTATTATCGGGAGGGAATGGTCCCTACAGAGGGACATCGTGCAGGGAAAAGTAGAGTCAGGGAGACAGACAGACTCACTCGTGGCAAGGACTGGAAGAACAGCACCGGATCAGCAGGGTCCTGGCGCATGACAGAGAGGCCTACTAAGTCAGAACCCGCTTGATGGCACCAACCAACAGCTGACACCAGCGGAGTTGGGTTGGCATCCCTTGCCTGGACTTGGACCTTGAAAAACCGGCTGTCGGCACAGTACAGACTGTGTGAGGAAGCTTTCCAACGGAGAGGCTTGGCAAGACTGGAAACAGCTGCCCTGAGTCTGAGTCAGGGCTCCAGTTCTTCCTCAGCTAAACCTTAGCTTGTCCTCTTTCACTGCCCCCTCTAAGAACCCCGCTTGTGGTTTGGAGCCTTGAGAAGCTGTGAAAGGTTTCAACCACCCTCAGCAAACCCTGGCAGAAAGGAGTGAGGAACTGTTTGCCCGGAGGATGCAGGGCGAGTGTTTGCTCAGCATGCTCTGGGGCAGCGGTTCTCAACCTGGGGCTGCGACCCCTTTGGGGTCGAATGGCCCATTCACAGGGGTCGTCTGATTCATAACAGTAGCACAATGACAGTGATGATGTAAGCAACAAAAACAATTTATGGTTGGGGGTCGAATGGCCCATTCACAGGGGTCGTCTGATTCATAACAGTAGCAAAATGACAGTGATGATGTAAGCAACGAAAAGAATTTATGGTTGGGGGTCACCACCACATGAAGAACTGTACGAAGGGTCGAGGCGTTAGGAAGGTTGAGAACCATTGCTCTGGAAGAAGGTGCTCAGTCAGTATTCAGAGGATCACCTGCTGAATTGGATCTAGGAAGCCTGCGGGAAGTGGGTGGGGTAGCTAACCTTGCAGCAGGTTCACTTGCTATTGTTCTATAGCTGCAGCAAACCCTCACCTTCGGCCTGTGACTAGGACCCATTCTCTCTGCCTTTCCCTCAGATCCTCCAAGCACTTAGCTCCACTTGGTGGATTTCGTGTCTCCCTGCTTCAATCTTGATCTTCCCCCCCAACAAACCTCTTTGCACTACTCCTATATGAGTACTGGAGTGTTCCAGTAGGACCAGAAAACAAAATAATACCAAAATACACAATCTTTCCAATCAATTCTTTCAAGTCATCCAGGCTATCCTTAAACAAGAAAGAGAGGGAGAGGCAACGCCAGATATTAGATGAGAAATCCTGTTTCCAATGGTTTTAAATCGGCTTTGGAAGAAAAGTCTCAGCACTTTTCTTTTTTAAGCCAAGCATGGGCTTTCCTTTGGAAAGGGGTGGTAGTCATGGACTAGCTAAATAGCTCCCTTTGTTAACACAGCAACCTGTTTATTCTAAATATTAACAGAAACTTTCAGCTACCAAGCACAGACCGATGTGGAGCAGGAAGCATTTTAAGCACACCCGAAAGCAACATTTCTTTATGTGTGGAATGCTTGCTCCATAAAGCTGCGATAAAAGAAATATTAAAAGCCCGTCTATCTGAAAAGCGAATGCATTTGCTCAGAACTGGATGTGCGTGTCCCCTCTGAGGAGCAGAGTAGGGCGGGCAGCAGGGGACGCATGCAGATTGTACAGCGCCGTCCCCAGATGACCTGCAGCCTGGAGCAGCAGTCGGGACACTGAGAGGAGAGGACATTCTTGCCCAGCCTGTGCCACGCCACGGTGACTCAGTGACTCGGGGACATCAGGGCCTGCGAGGGACAGGGGAGGAGGCTCTGGGCCAGGATGGGCTGGGAGCATACCTTCTGCTGGGAGGGAAGAGAGTTGGGGCTACCTGTGTCCTCACTCAGCACACACAGCCCAGGCCCGGCTGCCCATACCTCTGGCCCAAGCACCCCACTCCTGCTTGTCCCTGCTGCCTCCACTAGGGGGAGCGGGGGAAGAAAACTGTTGGGGGCCCGAAATGCTTAAGACATGCTTCTAGGCCCGATCAAAGGTGGCTTTTTGAATCACACACAAAAGCCAGGAGGAAAAGATTGACATCCTCTTGTATTTCACACAAATCAGTCTACGAATAACGTTTGAGTCGTGTTTTTAAGACGCATTTCTGTGCTTAAGCTCTATTTATAGCTCTCTGACAGCTGAGAAAGTAATTAGCTACATTATCGCTTCTTACTGAGGCACTGGCTTTACTAACTACATTCTCATTAACACCGTTTTATTTCCCTGCTCACGGTGGGAGATCTACTCAAAGCTCACTCTGGCTGGTGAGGAGATGGGAGTCTGCCATCCCAGAGGACTTACTTAATTATTCACGATGGTTTGTTCATTTCTTGTCAGGGATGCCGTGCGAAATTTAAAAAGCCATTAAGGCTCCCACAACGTAAAGGTACTCCAAGTAAATTAATGAATTTGCACGCAGGGACTTAGCGATGAGTGATGTGCTCCCGAGGAGCCTGGAGGTGCTGTGGGTTGGCCTGGGACTGAATGACTCCGTCTGTCACCAAACCCCAAACCAAACCGATTGCCACTGAGCCAATTCCAACACACAGAAACCCGACGTGGGCCTTCTGACGGCGGAAATATTTACGGAAACAGACAGCCTCCTCTTTCTCCCACCGAGTGGCTGGTGGGTTTGAACCTCGGTCCTGGTGGTTGGCAGCCCAATGTCCAAGATGTACCGGCAAATGAAAAGTTAAATGATGCCTGATGTGATTTATTTTCATCTTTAAAAGAAGATGTCCCTGCTACATGCTTGACACACACAGAGTGGGGGGAGCTCATGGGAAGGTGGGGGCAGGAGCGGGAAAGAATACTGTGGTTCGATATATTTCTAGGCTATTTGAATTTGGGTGAGTCTATGTTTCATCTCTTATCAAAAAAAGAAAAACAGCACCGAATCAGTGCTCTAAAATAGACACCTGGGTATGGGGAAGAGTTTGTGTCTGGGAACGCAGACCTCCAGGGAGTTCTCGTACCCTCTGATGAGATGGGGCGCTGAGTGCGGGTTGTCTGAGCAATTGGGCTTGCACCAAGCACCTGCTTCCCCCGCTGGGAGCCAAGAATTAAGGTATGTGCCAGGCAGTAGTTGTCCACGTGACCCACCTCCAATAGACGCCCTGGACACCTGGGCTCAGGGGACTACGTGGCAGTCAACACATCACATGTGGCACCACGCTTGCCACTGGGGGAAGGAAGAGCATCCTGCGATCGCACTGGGCCGCCCTCTGGGGAGGGTGTGCTGGTTTCCTGCAGACTCCATCTCCACCCCCTCACCCCACACCACTCCCCACCCCCTCCCCCCACCCCGGCTGCCCTGGCTTTGCATCCTTTCACTGTGAGTCACAGCCTTGAGCACAAACCCATGCCAAGTATGTCGGGTCCCCTGAGCAAGTCACTGAACCCCTATGGTTCTTTTCCATAGCAAGGCTTCCCTGGCTTGGGTCCACAATCAGTGCTCCTGGAAGCAGCAGTCAAGGGAGCCAACAATACATTGCGTTGGATAAACCTGCCGCCCGAGCCCTCTACAAAGTGTCAAAAAGCAAAGCAGTTAATCTGTGGGCTGGGGTGCGCCTGACCCAAGTCACAGCATTTTCAGTCGGCTCATCTGCCTGTGAAGTTGGACACTGGATAAGGAAGCTCCGAGAAGTTGACCTTGCGGTTGGCAGCCCAGCTCGTAGACACTACGCCATCAGGGCCCCTCTCTCCTTACAATGTAAGCAACAAGAGGTAGACCCCGTCTTACTCAGACATGGTGTTCAGGGAAGTGCCCCACAAGGTAGGTGTGCGATTCCAGTCACTTAGGTGAATTGGTACCTTGCTTCCCTTGTCTGTAGAATGGACACAATGCTCGCTATCTTTTCTTCGGCTCATAAAATGTCAAATTTCTCTAGATAGTACAAATTGAGAATTCAAAGTGTATTTTGTGTCCCTTAAATTCCACCTTCTTTGTGGAATTTATCTTTGTGTCCATTTATCTTGTTTTAGCTTCCTGGGGAGTTCTACCGCCTTCTACCCAGGAGTAACCACATGGAAACTAGGATCTGAATGGGCTGAAGCCATTTTACACCTGCAGCAGGAGGAGGAGGGCATATGACGCAAATGACCTTGGCACTCATTCCTGTCTCACCACCTCAGATGGTCACTTCTCTCGGCCCCTCCCCTCTTCACCTCTATCTTCCATTAGCTAGTATTTTCCCCCAGCTGCCTCCTCCCTACCTGTAGTCTTTCCTCTATCCCAAATGTTTTCTGATGGGAATACTCTTTACCCTCCCATTTACATCCCCCCCTGCCTCCCCCTCCCCCCTGCCCGGCCAACAGCTTAGCTTCTGCTTCTGTAGGATGCGGCCACCCCCCATCCCGGATCCCAGCTCCAGCCGGGACCTTCTTGCCTGTCTCACACTCTTTACCTTGCTGGCCTTCAGGATGTTGATCTGCTCTTCATACACCGTGTCTCGGTTTTTTTCCAGGAAGCCATCTGAGTGGTACTCCACCTGGGACCCCAGCCGCGGGAGAGAAGCAGAAGTTAGTGCTTTAGCCGGACCAGTGCCTTCCCGCGTATCCCCCAGCACTGGAGAGGTTTGCGCTGAGGTGCAGCGCTGTGAGTGGCTAGGAAACCCACAGGTGTTCCGCTGGGGGACCGGAGTCCACCGAGGGAACTGAGCATTCCTTGATAAAGGCCTTCCCCAAGGATCGCCTTCGACAGGACGTGTCCCGGACACTCTGACTGCTGCCTCGGGCCCACACCATGGCAGCGCCCGGCAAGCAGGTTCATGGACGGCTTATCCAAGAAAGCACACTTGCTGCCATCGAGCGGCTACCAAGCTTGATCACACGGACGTCTGAGAAGCGCCGAGCTGGTGCCCTTCAAGCAGAGCTTCATTTAGAAAAGTTGACAGATGCACTCGGTACCGGCAACTGAACCATTCACAGCCGAGAAAGGCACGTTCCACGGAGTCACCCCAAGCCAGGGGCACACGTAGCTTTCACATGCCCCTCCTCTTGCCCACGCTCCCTGAGGCGAGAACCAGGGCGGTTTCCCTTGCTGCTGTACCTATAAGAGTCTCTGGGTGGCGCTAGTGGTAAGTCCCCACCTACCTAACAGCCAAAAGGTGGGTGGGTGGACCTATCTGGAAGCACCTTGGAAGTCAGGCTCGGTGACTTGCATCCAAAAGTTTAAAGCATTGGAAAAACTCTGTGGGGCAGAGTTCCCTGCACACCTGGTATCCCCCCACCTGTGTTAGAACCAACTTGAATACGGCTAACCAAAACAACATATTCCCCGGAGAGAGGCTCTCAACAGATATTTGCTAAACTCATTGGAGACAAGACTGTGCTTCTCTGGGGTTATGGCCCCAAACCAACTCCACTGTCCTTCCAGTTAATTCCCACACCTCCTAGTGACCCTGTAGGACAGAGGAAAACTGCCCTTGGGTTTATTTTTTTAAGACTGTACATCTTTACAGGAGGAGACAGCTCCACCATTCTCCCGTGGAGTAGCCGGTGGATTTGAACTGCTGACCTTGTGGTTAGCAGCCCAACACTTAACCACAGCACCCCATGGCTCAGGGGTTGGTCCACACTAACAACAGCGTGAGACGGAGCAAGGACGGCAGGAGACTCAGACCACCCCCTTTGAATAGGGATGGCTCCCTTTTAGCCAAGAAGCCCAAGTTCCTCCCAACCCCATGCCCTCCAGGGTGAACGGCAGAGCGCCACCACCAGAGTGGACCCACCTTATCAGCAAAGTGGACAACGATGAAGGACGTGTTGGACATGCGAGGTTTCTGGAAGTGCTGGCTGCTGCCGTGTCGGTCATAGAGCTTTTGAGCCCAGTTCTGATCAGTACCTTTGGGGACCTGCAGAGTCACAAAACAGGGCTGTTACGAGAAGGGGAGAGAAGCCTCGTGGGGGATGGACAGAGTCCATGGTCGAGAAGGGGAGAGAAGCCTCGTGGGGGATGGACAGAGTCCATGGTCAGGCGACCCTGAGAGGCAGGATCACATCTCAGACCCTGGGCCCTAACTCGACCGTGGAAAAAACGATTCCGGATCCTGCTCGGCCACTCCCTCCACTCGCAGGCGTGGGTGGGCTTTCACGGGGCCTGCGGAGTGGGTAAGCCTCACAGAATCTGCCGCCTGGCAGAGAATAGCGGTGAGGTCAATGTCACAGAGCACCACCGGGGAACAAACACACGGGCAGCCGCAGCGGCTTCCCTCTGGCCAGGCTGTGGGTGTCAGAGTCCAGGGTGCCCACACCCATCGGCAGCTCCAACCTTCTGCTCGCTCGCCCACGTTACCTCCTGCAGGAAGCAAGCCTGTCCTTCCTCTCTGGGCTCATCAGCGCACCTGACCGGCTGCCCTGCTCTCTGAAGCTTCCTGGCCACCCTTGATCTCAGCTCTGAACATTCTCCCGGGGAAACGCTTACACATCCACCACCTTGAAGGGTTCAAGGACTGTACCCCACTGCTTTGTTTCATCTCTCGTGCCCCTCAAAGAGCTTCAGAACCCAGTGGTTGAGCTCTGGTCCCTGCCCTCCTTTCAAGTCTCCACGTCACCTTCAGAGGAGGGGATCTCACCATGCTAAGGATGCCGATGGACAGTCTCTCTCAATATGTTTGTGGAGGCCGTCAAAGGTGAAAAAACACATCCTGTTTCATTCCACACAGAAGCTGGGTCAGGGTCACCTCCATTCAGACTGAGAAGGAGGCTGGTGACTGTCCCAACAGGGAGCTACTCCTGCTGTCACCCTTGGACGCCACATCACACCCCGTCCAGTGATCAAGGGCCGGGCCATCCCCAACCCCATTTGAGAGACACTGCCTGCCTGCCGTGTGTGTTGGTTGAGATTGCACGTTTCGATCAGATACGGTTGAAGGTGACCTGGCACCAGCCATTTCTGAAAAAGGCTTTGCTATGTAAATTAATAGTCAAATCTGTGTCAGGGGGAAAATGCTTACAGGCCGGAGCACGCATTTCTCAAATACTCGGTAAGCAAATGGATTGTTCTCTCAGCGTTCAACTCCCATAACTGGAGTACTCCGTGCTGAGGGCCGCGGGAAAGCCAAAGGGAAAAAGAAACACACACACACAAACAATGTCTTCACGGGAGAGGCTATTAATTGTGTTGGGCAGACCAAATACAAAAATAGATTGAACTCAGCATTTTTTATATATAGGCGTCTATTTGTCTCCAGGCTCCGGTGGTTAGAAACACCAGGTGTGGGGGACGAAGAGGGCTGGCCAGCAGGGCTGTCAGGGGTGCAGACAGGGCACGGCAGATGGCCATCACGGAGAGCCCACAAAGGCCAACACCTACATTTGCTGGACCACCCTGCCATTCTTGAACATGAAGTTGGACTCCTGCTGGAAGACCCCCACCCTCCTAGACAGTCCCAGGTGGGCATGGAGTGCTGAGCGAGGAGCTCAGCGATCGAGGCCATGTGTGTCCTGCTGAAGCAGCAGCTCCATCCTCCACCTCAGACGACAGAGAGGGGGCTGCACAAACTACGGCATGACCATTCAGTGACTGACCACTAGGCTGCTAACCCCCTCAGCAGCCCCGAGGGAGAAAGACATGGGGGCTCAGTCCAGCAAAGATTGGCATCTAGAGAGTCCTCCGCGGTAGGTCTAGCCTGCCACAGGGGGTCACGATGAGTCAGAATCAACGATCCCTCCACAAATGAGGCTCTTGGGTCACATCCACAGCCGATGGTTGTGTTACTGTGACCCGCTGGCCGGCCAGCCCCTGTAAAACAGAGTGGACCACTGTGATCCATGGGGTTCCCATTGGCTGATCTTCAGAAGATCACCAGACCGTTATTCCTAGTCTGCCTGTGTCTGGAAGCACCGCTGAGATGGAACCAGTACACAGCAACATGCAAGGCTCCATTAACAGGTCATGGCTGTATGCACTGACCAGGAACTGAATAGAAGGTGAGACGAACCCCCATTGCCCTCCCTAAGGCCCACAGACTCAAGCAGCAAAAACCAAACAACAGAACTCACTGTCATCCAGTGGATCCCAGCCCCTAGCAGCCCAACCCAGAGGACAGAGTAGACCTGCTGCTGTGGGTTTCTGAGACAGGAAGTCTTTCCAGGTGAAGAAAGCTTCACCTGTCTCCTAAGGGGCAACTGGTGGTGCTGACCTTGGTGGATAGAAGCCCACGGTGCCACCAGGGTTCCACCTCCACCAAGGTCCAGAGTTTATTCTATGCCAGGCAGTACTACGTATTTATATCGATCGACTCATTCAAATCCTCAATATACTAGGCTGACACACATGACAGGTGAGGATGCTGAGACCAAGAGTGACTTGCCCGGTCACAGAGCTGGGAAGCGGCAGAGCTGGGGTTCAGAACCAGACGGGCCGGCTCTGGAGGGCATTTTAAAGGTAGCCAGGAAGGCAGTGTTAGGTGGAAGTCTCTTCCCTCCCCAAATCTTCCCATGCAAGGAGACTTACAATAGGCAGGGGAGAAAGAAGTGTATTTGTATTGTGATGTGGTAGTTATACAATCGTTTGTCAATTTGAGAGGATTAAGATTGTAGGGGTGGAGTCTAGCCTGTCAATCAGATCATAGCCAATGAGGCCTCTGTGAGGGCATGGCCTTCTCCTGAGAATTCTGGGAAATCCGGTACTTCCTCCTTGGAGGTGGGAGACACTTCTCTCTCACTGCTCACTTCCTGTGAGACATTCCTGAGGAGAAGCCAAATGGACCTACCCTGATGCAGCCAGAACCCCGAACCTGGAGAAGTCACGTAGAGACCCCTGCCAGCACTGAGATGCTTACAGCACCACTGGATCCAAAGACGTCCCACCCACTGGCCTTGTGTTTCCTGAGTCTGAAGAGGACTTTATAGATTGGTATCAGACATATGGGCTAATATCAGACGTACGGACTTGGACTGGGCTGGGCTGTTTCCTCAATATTCAACTGCTCTGATATCTAAAATTCTTTCTTATACACATATGCGTGTTTATGAATTTGTTTCTCTAGCCTACCCAGACGAACGCATGTGATCAAAGCTGGACTGGTCTTCTCTCTAGCGCTGGAAGATGCCACCGAAACAAAGCCTTTGAAAAAAGTCCACAAGTGGTTTCACACAAACTCAAACGAAAGTGGAGCAAGTCTCAGACCAGGAGCTACATGCATGCTCCCACTCTGTTCAAGTGGGCACTGTCTCTCCGAGGTTGACAGCCTTGGACCTGCTGTGCTGGCCACTGGTCACATCAAAAAGGGAAGCCCCCACTTAGATGCAATGCCCACCTCAGGCAATTCAAGATAGAGAAAGTAGATTAGTGGTTGCATAGGGCTTGGGGTGAGTGGCTTGGGAGGAGTGGGGAGAGCATGCTAACAGGTTAAAATGCTCTAAGATGGACAGTGGTGGTAGGCATATAACTCTGAACACTAAAAAAACTACTGGAAAGTATAGTCTAAGTAGGTGAATTGCATAGTATCTGAGTTACATCTAAATAAAGCCGTTAAGAATACATTGTATCTAGCTCTCCCTTTTGACCCATTTCAAAGTTGTTTCAGTTTTATTATTTTCTGCTTGCTTTGAGGCTGAGGTTTTTCTGTTTTGTTTCGTCACAGCTGCTTTTTCACGTGTTTCTTGCTGGGGGTGTGTGTGGTGTTTTTTTACTGACTTCCTGTATATGAAATCCAGGACAGGTCCATCTATAGCGGCAATCACTGAATGGATAATGATGTAGGGGAGTTAGAGGGGAGGCGGTTGGGGGGACAGGGAGCTCACAGAAGCGCGTATGGGCGAGAAGAGGTTCTGAAATGGACTGTGGTGACGGCTGTCCAAGTCTCCTCCACAGGACTGCACGATGAAATGGTAAGGGCGGGTTGTCTAAGTCTCTGCTCATGGAACATGGCTTGTTGGACAGGTGACTCAGCATCTGTGCGAAAGCCACCGGCTTCAAAGAGCAATTGCCCACAAACGTGCTGGGCAATAAGCCCTTGGGAGCCACCTTGGTCTTCACGCAGGGACCACAGTCCTGAGGGCCTGCTGGGCATGGGGAGGAAGGGGGAGGGTGGGAGGCCTCCCACTGTCTTCCTCCCGGGAGCACCCGATGCTGAGGCCTGTCTCTTGGCACCTAGGACACTTGCCAATTGATACCACCCAGTCTCTGCCCACACAGGTACCCACGAGACAGCGTAGCAGCATCTGCCAGGCACAGTGAATTCCTCACACCCCCATATACAGATGGAACTCCTGCTCCGGGACTGCACACGTGCCCTGGCTGTGCACAGCGCTCCCTGCCCTCCCTGCCAAGCCTGGCATGGAGCTGATTCAAGCACAGCCCCCATCAGTTTTACCTTACACTCCTCATCCAACAGGTCCAAGATTCCCAGCTTCGCTTCTATGAGGTCAATGCAAGGTTGGTTATCATAGAAGTCAATCAAGGTCCAAGGAATCTGCTCCCTCATGTATTCTTCCTGCTCCAGTTTGAAGACATGCTGGGAAGCAGAGTTCAAGATGAAGATTAGTGAACTTCATGCGAGCCTTCATATCATCCCTGTGTGCTCACCCACACGTGCCCTTCGCCCTTCGTCTTACAGGGCGACGGACGCCCACGGAGAAGGTCTGGCGTCTAAGGCTCGGTTGGAGTGTAGAGCAGAAAAGTTTAGGTAATTCTCATTCCCTGTGTGAGCCCTTCCCCCGGACAGGCTATGCTCACCTGTGCTGGCAGACTGCAACTAATCACAAGAAGTGGCTGGAGTGCCCCTAGAGGGCCAGGCTCACGAGTAGGGGTCGAGGCCCAGGAGGGGACCATGTGCTCCTTCCCCACAGCCCAGTGTAAACCTCCTTTGGAGGAGTAGGAGTGTCCTCCCAAAGCTAGGGGCACCAGCAGGGCACCAAGGGAAGGCTAAGACCAAGCTAGAGCCCACTGGCTGTGGACAGGAGGGAAGTGGCCTGGCAGTTGCCACCCCACTCCCTGGGGCAGGGGGAGGGGGAGACGTGGGAAGGCAGGGGTGAGGGGAGAGGGTAAGTTCTTTCCACCCAATGCCCCCAGATCTGCACTACCACCTACCGAGTTGAACTGCTGCTGGAGTTTTTCGTTGGCATAGTTGATGCAAAACTGCTCAAAGCTGTTGCTCTCAAAGGTCTCAAACCTGTGTGATGGAAGGAGAGCAGAAAGTAAGACAGATAGCTTGTATGTGGGAGGCAATGCTCATGGTCATGGGGTCGATGCCGACTGATAGGGACCCTATGGGAAAAGGTGGAACTACCCCTGTGGTTTTCCAAGACCGTCAAACTCTTTACAGGAGTATAAAGCCTCAACTTTCTCCCAGCAGTAGTTTCAAACTGCTGACCTTGTGGTTTGTATCTCAATGTGTAACCCACTGCACCACTCTGTGGGAGTCAATAGGACATTAATAAAGTGACCTGGGCCAGTTCCCACTCTCACCCAGCAGGGAATGCCCATTTCCTGCTCTTGTGCTCAACGGGACAGCCTGTGTTGGTTTCGGCACTATGGATTGCCCTACCCACTAGGACAGTAAAGTCTGTCTCTAGGGTCATAATCAGAAAAGAAATACTGACAATAGAAAGATTTAGAAAGGAAAAAAAGGAAGTTACCAAGGATCCAATCACTCAGATTGGCCATCAGCTATATAAGGGGCTCTCAGACATTTTGTAGGCAAAACAGCATTGTCTTTTAATTCCATTTTCCTACAAATGTTTTGAACCCCCTTCACATTTTGGTGGGCTTCCTTCCGGTAGCTTTTTACTTTTGAACAAAATTAGAATTGCTTGTAAAATTTGACTGTCTGTCTTGGTTACTTACCTTACCACGGTGAGCATTTCCCCAGGCCAGCACCTGGATCAGGGCTGTTGCTTAGAGAAGTGGATATTGAGTAAGGTGTTCAGGTGGGGTAACAAGAGGGGTCTGAAAGGCAGCCAGTGCTCCCCTGCAAGCCTGAGAGGGGGCCATTCCACCCAGAGGGGGTGTCTTGTTCCCGATTCACACAAAAGCCGACCCCCTACAGCCTTCATATCCCCGCCCCCGCCCCTCATTCTTCAATACGGGCAGCTGAACTTTCTCAGTCATTTTGAGTGCCACACAAGCCTTCCCAACAGAGTGTTGTGCACTGTCTACTTGGTTCCAACTCTCAGCGCCCTTCCGTCTAACAGCAGGGAATGCCAGTGCCCCCATCCTCCTGGTGACGGTGTGCATGAGCCCATTATTGGAGGGGTCGTGGCAATCCATGACATTGAGGGCTTGTCTTCTGACCCTTCAACTTGATTCAACACCACCTCTAATCTAAATTGATTACATTTCCTAATCACCACCTTCTGCCAGAAGTGTTGGAGCTGCCCCAGGTGGTGTTGGGATGGGGTGGGGGTGGGGGTGGCGAGTAGGGTTGTTGACCAGTGTCCAGACAGCATCAGGCTTCTCCTCCCCTCCCCTCCCCGCCCTGCCCTCACCCCTCTCTCCCTCTCCCTCCCTCCCTCCCTCTCCCCACCCTCTCATGTAAAACATGGAACAGTGGGAAATCATGTTGCGATCAAAGAAGTCAACAGTTTAGAGACAATTGGATTGAAGCACAGCATTTGGTCATGCGCATGTGGAAGAAAAATCATTGTAGGTGAATAAAGCAAGACCACAGATGCATTGCCCAAGCCGGGGGAAAGGCAGCCAACCAGTCCTGTGCACTGCAGACCGGAAAGAGGGGAGGCACCATGCCCACCAGCCACAGTGTTAGTGGGAGGGCTCCCAGACCAGCCGATGGCCCTTTAGACTCAGTTCACTCACCTAGAGCCTCATTCTCGCCCCCTTCCCTAAAAGAGGCTGCAAGCACCGAAGCCCCAGAGGAAACTGAGTGAACCCAACCAGCCCGACCACACAGTTGACCAGATGATGGCAATTGGGGGTGCTGGTAGGGCTTATACCACCAGGATGGAAACCGCTTGTCGTTGTTCAAAGGTTTATATTGGTAGCTTCCACAAAGAACACTTTCGTTAATTGGCAATGGCCTGCAATTAGCTCACCACCTCCCTGTTTAGAAAGGTATGATCTGGCAACAATTCCACTGTCACGTCATCTAGTGTCATTAATGCCATCCGGAGGGGAGGGGTGGGGATGAATGAGGGGCTAGGAAGAGAGCCAAGGTGCCAACCTCAGACAATCACAGCCAAGGCAGGGGCAGGAGTGGGGGTGGGGTGGGCCTGTGTCACATCTCCTTTCCCTTGAAACTATATTTAGAGTCATTTTCCCATCGATAGAGACGCCCATCAGTGGGTCCATTCCTAGCTCCCAACATTGAAATGCCACCAAGACATCTGCACGCTGGAGGACGCTGGGTTTCTGGCCATCAAATCAACGGGAGGGTACTTAGACAGACTCCTGGGGTGGGCTGCTGTCATTCTTGGGTGCCATCGAGTTGGTGACCCCTTGTGGCAGCCCCGGGCATAGCAGAACCAAACGCTGCCCGGTCCTGGGCTGTGCCAACTGTGCCTGTTCTCACACTGGCTCCCGTGCTGAGCCCAGGGTGCAGCCGCGGTGTCACACTGTCTCATGGAGGGCCTTCCTTTCTGCCGAGGCCCTTGAACTTCCCGCGGCATGCCGTCCTTCCCCAGGGCCGGTCTCTGCTGTCAGCATGTCCAAAGGGAGGAAGGTCAAAGGAGGGGAAGACAAGGTGCGAGGCTGAGAGGTGGGGTCTGTGTTCGTGAGGATTCAATGAGACCTCTCCTTCCTTCTAGACAATACAGGGCGAACGTCACCGCCTTCCTCTCCTGCCCCTCCGAGCGGAAGGGGCGGAAGGGCTGCAAGTGCCTCTGAGAAAGAATGCCTGCTGCAGTACAGAACGTGCGATAAAAACCAGCCGGCTACTCTGAGCCAAGGATTAACCTGCCCCGTGCCCCACGCACTCCTGGGCCTTAAGCAGCGATGAGAAGTACCCCCACCCCTCCAAGTGTCAGTCTGAGAAGTGGCATCTCTCAGCTCAGCCTCTTCTGTGTATCCGACGGCAGATCGCCGCCATACTGCGCAAGATCGGAGACGAAGACGACGTGGGATTTAGGTCTAAGAGAAAGGAGTGGTTCCTGGGAATGCTCATGATCCAAAGTCGGACACAGAAGAAGGACTGCAGAGACGTTCTCTCCAGACAGGTGTTTAACAGGGTCACCCTCCAGTGGGCCCAGAGCCATGAGTCCAATGGTCACGTACAGGGTCCCTTTCCATCCTGAAGTCCGTGGAAACTCCTGAGAGCTCTTAGGGCCTATGGGACCGGCCAGCCCTCCTGACCTCTTTATTAAACCATCCCAGGATGCTGGCCGAACCTAAGAAGGACAGGACTTTAATTCTCTGTGTGGGCTTCTCGTCTCTGTGCCATTGTGTCCCCACCGAGACTTGTCCTCCAGGGAGAGAATGGTCCTGGGCACTGCAAACACTGGAAGGTCAGAGGAGCCCCACTTCTGCAGGACCTAGAGCCCTCTGGCGAACAGTGTGTTCAGACCCCAGGAAGTCCATGTGGGACGGGAAAATGCCTACCATCCAGCAAGCCTCTCCCAAGCCACTGGCCAACTATCCCCAGAAAGTGAGGGCTGCGAAGAGCCAGTCACGGCCCCAGAACCAAAGAGCCATTGGGAAGGGGACAAGAAGTGCCCAAGGAGCAGAGGAGGGATGGGCAACAGGTGGCTTTAAAGGAGGGTGGAGCTGAGAGCTGCTTTGGAGCAATTCTGGGTGGTGGAGCTGTGGAAGGCTCCCCGGGTGGTTGTGGCCTCCAGGGCAGTCCTTCTAGGCCTGAGCTCCTTGGGCCAGCCTGGCAGGCCTGGTCTGAGCGGGACATGGCTAGGCACACCTCCTGGGCTTTCCAACACTGGGCCACATGCCGTCTCGCCGTCTCGGCAGTGGGAGTGAATGCCTCCCTGACCTCTCTCTCTTCCATGAGCCACCAGTCAGAGGAAGACTGAGTGGCTCTCTCAGCACAGCAAGGCCTCGGCGAAAAAAATGACCTCTAAGCTCCAGTTTGGAGAGTGAGATCAGCGCAACATAAAACCAAGCAAAGAGGGGAGACTGCTCCCCATCCAGCTGATGGAGGCAGATGAAGGGCCGAGGAGGATTACAGAAGGCACTCCATTACAGTGACGGACCTTCAAAGGCAGGAATCCGTGAGAGACGGAGAAAGCCACACCAAGATGGAGCAGGACTGAAGATCCCATTTCCCGCTTCCTAGCTTCAGAAACGCCCCCCTCCTCCTTCCCACCCCCCTCCCTCCCTGCCAGGCTTGGGTTCTACCCTGCCTTGCTCCCCAAGGACCCCGATCACAGGCCACCCCGCTCAGCTTAGTTGGCATTTTGAAGGCTGAAGTCAAAGACAAAGAAATGACTCTTTTCCCCCCTTCTCTCAAACGGAAGCCATTCATTTCCTGTTTCCTCAAGGAGGCAACTGTGAAGAATCCAGCCCGCAGAGGCAAGTGCAGGTTAAGGCAGGATGGAAGGACACCCAGCCAAAGGGCCTGCGTCTCACTCCCTGCCTGCCCGCAGGTAACAACCCCCGCAGGCAGGCACGTCTTTAGTCAAAGGGAAGCATTTAGCGTGGGTTGGCGAAATCGCTCTCTGGGTGTTGCTTGCTTTGCAGGTCTTGGGGCCCTGGGCAGGGCAGGGCAGGTAGGCAACTTAGTACCAGGCACTGGGAGGCAGGGGAAGGGCCAGGAAGGGGGTGACGGGGTCAGCAGGAGAGTCAGGAATGGGCAGGCTGGTTCCAGTGGTGCAGGCGTGGCCCACCCAGTTCCCACATCCATTCCACTAGCGGGGTGAACAGACGAGCTCCCCCTGAAGCACCGGGCGAGGGGAGCGGCCTGTGCGTCCTTCTACAGAGGCGTGTCCATTCACTGGGGAGAAGCTCGCCGGGACCACGGTTGAGATATTTACAAAAAACACTGGAATGGTTCATTGACAGCAAGCGCGGGAAACGTCTGGATCGAGGATTCATCAAGCGCCGCTAACGTCACATGCCTCATCAGAGATGCAATGCTACCCAGCACATTAAAAAAAAAATCACTGCCCCCGAGTCAATTCTGACCCATCTTCATTCTGACCCCTGTGGGTTCCTGAGACTGTCACTCTTTATGGGAGTAGAGAGCCTCGTCTTTCTCCTATGTAGTGGCTGGTGGTTTTGAACTGCTGATCTCGCAGTTAGCAGCCCAAAGCATAACCACTGTGCCATCAGGGCTCCTCACAGCCATCACATTAGGGGTGGCTAATTAAAGGGTTGAGCAAAGAAATCGGGCTAAGTTTTAAGTCGGTAGTTTTGTCTGGCCTGCAAATGGTGTTCTAAGTATCCAAATGGCCCTCGGCAGAGGAAAGGCCCCCACACCTGCTCTACAGCCCGTAGTCTTCTCTGCAACGAGCCCCTCCCAGGGCGGCAGCACCCGAGACGGCCCCTGTGCTTCCACTGGACACAGTCACGCTCTTATAGGCAGGAGCACGGAGAGCCAGGCGGACTCATTTCCTGGATTTGCATGATGCTCACCTAATGCAGAGGGAGCCCTGGTGGTGGTGGGATTACGAGTTGGGCTAACGAACAAAAGCATCAGCCAAGCCACAGGGGAAAGACGAGGCTGCCTACTGAGTTATGGGCCACGAGGAGTCGGCATGGAGGGATGGCATCGAGGCCGTTCATTCGAACTCCTGCTCTTTCCTTCTTTTAATGAGTAAGCGCTCACTGCATGCAGAGCACATCCCTACCGGTCCTCGTCTCACCAGCGTCTACCTTCTGGTCCCAAGTGATGGGGATGGGGTAGGGGGTGGGATGAGGAAAGCGAAGACAAGGGGTTACCTCGAGGGCACCTATGATGTGCACCAGGCGTCTCCATCCTCTCAGCTGAGGGTGAATGAGTGTAGCAGAGGTGACAGGAAAGCAAAGCTTGGGCATCCCGAGGCCATGCAGGACGGCAGGCTCCTTACAGAACCACCCTCGCCACGAGAAGAGAAGGCTGGAGTTGGGAGCGTGTTTGAAATGAGAGGGGCTGGTTAGAGGGCCAGAGAGGTGGGTCCCAGGTAGATGGCTGGCCAGCCAGGCAAATCTTCACCCACCTCATAAGGGAGGGCTGTCTGTCTCTCTCTGTCTACAGGGTGTGCCCTCCTGCATTTCAAGGGCACTGTCCCCCACTGCCTCACTGTCACATAGCTCATCTCTTCCCCCATCACTCGTGAGCTAGTTTGGTTTGGAACTAATGATCAGCTGCCACATCAGAGCTGCAGTGAGGGTGGCAGATCTTTCCATGCGGAGGGGGGCCGATTCTAGAAGGGATGTGACTCTACTGTGGCCTCAACCTACGCAGCCCTGGTGGCTGAGTGTCGGGCTGCTAACTGAAAGGTTGGTGGTTCAAACCCACCAGCCGCTCCACAGGTGACCAATGTGGCAGCCTGCTTCCTGAAGATTCACCCTCTGTGGGTTGGCGTCCACTGGGGTTTTACATTCTCAGCATCAGGCGAGGCCTGGCAGAGCTTGGCCTGAGCAGGCTTTTCAAGGGGACAGCACTGCCCTTTCACGGGTCCGAACTTCTATTTTGAACAGAAGCCATGGGGTGTATAATTTAAAGATGCAGGAGGATTTCACCCAAATGTGCAAGGGAGGTTGTGGCCCCGTTTGTACCATTCCAACTAATTCTAGAATGATCTGGAAAGAAACTCAGAGAGGCTGAGACTCAAAGCATGCGTTCCAAGCTGCGGCAAACAAAGCCCTCTGAGGGGCCGGGGTCTGCTCAGAGCCACTCGCAGGCGGCTAGGGGCAGCAGCGAGACAACAGCCCAAAGCAAGCACCCTTTCTAGCCCACCATGACCCCCACCCCCCACCCCTCCCTGCCTGCAACAGCACACCCTGCTCCCGCCAACGGGCCTTTGGATTTGGGCAGGTTTCTGGATGCAGGATTCCTAGACTGACTGCACAGGATCACCACCCTGCCTGATGGCAAAGTCAGCGAGGCTCGGATAGCGGGAGACCAAACATAATCAGTGTCCGCTCCTCACAGAAACTTCCAGTGTGCCGTCAGGCAGTCATCGCCCGCCCTGGGCCGCAGTTCCCCTCGGGTAGAAATGGATGCCTGGCGGGCACGTTTCAGTGGGAGGATGATGTGTGTTTTGCTGGGGTGGGGGCGTGATGGCAGTGAACAGGCTAGCCACTGTTAGGGGGGAGAGTTGAACACCCCCTCCCAGGGGCACCTTCAGAAGACAGGTCTGGCAATCTGCTCATGGAAAATCAGCCTGAGGCCCAGACAGAGCACAGTTCTAGTCCACAACTCCCCCACTCCCACCCCAACACACACACACACACACACACACACACACACACGGCTGCTGAGAATCAGAGAGGACTTGGCATCAGCTGGATAGTCCTCCCTGGGACTGTCCTCCCTGGGACTGTCCTCCCTAGCACCTGGGCCCACATGTGCCCCTGCCCCATGTCCAAGGAGCCTGGTGGTGCAGCAGTGACACATTGGCTGCGATCTGCAAGGTCAGCAGTTCGAAACCCCCATCCAGCCCTGTAGGAGAAGACGGGGCTTTCTCCTCCCGTGAATAGTCAAAGTCTCAGGAACTCACAGGGGCCCTCTACTCTGTCTCATGGGGTCACGGTGCATCGGCATCGCCTCAATGGCAGTGAGTTTGGTTTGGGGGGTTGATCCCATGTGGGCTACTGGGGTGAGTTCACTCCTGCTTGGGAATCGCTGGGAACAAGGCCGGGCTGGCCTGTGGCTCCCAGCAGGAAGGGACTGCTGACCAGTGGGAGAGCAGGGGCGGCCTACCCGTAGATGTCCAGGACCCCGATGGAGGAGTGCTGCTTGAGGCTGGTGCGCAGGGCCTTGTTGATGTGCTCCACGATCCAGCCGAACAGCTGGGCGTAGATGTGCTTGGCCAGGGCATTGCGGGCGTTGACCACCTGCTGCAGGGACATGGTCTTCACGTAGGTCTCCGAGGTGGTGACCAGCTTGCGGTGACACAGCCAGTGCTCCATCTGACTGTGCTCCACGCCCAGCAGTCGGCAAAAGCTGTCCAGGTGCTCGTCCTGGGGCTGAGCAAGACACAGGGCAGAGGGGCGCAGGGTGGGCGTGGAGGCCTAGCCCCCCACTACGGGGCCCCTTCCTCCCCATGGTTGCCCAGAGGAAACAAGCCAAACCCAAGACGCCCCCCAGAACCCCCAGCCACTTCCTCCTTAGCAGCTCTCCTCCACCAGCAGCCTCACCCCCACTCCTGCCAAGGGAGAGGACAAGTACAGTAGAAGCAGTGGTGCTCGAGGTCACCTTTACACTTGCAAACAGCCCCATTATCAGTGTAACAAAACGTGCACAACCCTCCGTGTTTTCCCACCTTCTGCTCTGCGGCGGCTGCTGCTGGGCCACTGCGGGAGCGGACACGCCCTCCAGCATCAGGAGTCAGGAACCCGCAGCCCCAGACCAGCGAGCAGGCAGTTCCCATCTGCAGAGCCCCCATAAGGTGCTCCCTCCATGCCCCCAGAGCAGTCCTCGCCTCCCTCTTAGAACTCGCCACCTTACACACATCACCTATGACGAGGCCCTGCACACCCAGGAATGAGCTGTGGACGTCCACAGCAGGAAGGGACTGTGAGAGGCTTCCAGCCACCGCTGTCCCCCTCCCGAAGTTCTGGGTCCCCTCCCGACAGGAGTACAGGTGGCCTAAATCACCAGCTCTTCTCTGAGTGGGAATCACTGGGGAGGAGAGGGGTTTATGAAGGGCCTGTGGCCCCGGTGGGTGTGCTCAGAAGGGCTGGGGGACCCCACGCACACGGCTTTTAAGTGGGTTTTCACTTAGAACGAGTGATGCACTTCATTAACCAAGGCTCCGCCCAGCAGCTCTAAACACTGGTCTGAGCAGTTACTAACGGGAAAAGTAACATTGAAACAGACTTTAACTCTTTTGTAGCACATGAGCTGGTTCTTGTACACACACACACACACACACACACACACACCCGTTAAAGCCCCTGCTGCCCTGGGGGAAGGGAATGGGAACGTGGGAAGCCAGGACGAACGGCAAAAATGTGGCACAGATTTTGACCTGCAAAGATCAGTTCAAGGTCATGCATAACTGATAGCATCCCACTGTTGACTGCTGGAAAGAAGGTGAGAAAGCCGCTTTCCCCAGTGGAAGCCCCTTCTCACCCAGGTAAGGAAGCTGAGTCCCAGTGGTATAATGGTTCGCCCGGAGTGCAGACTCCCACCAGTCTCTCAGAGGTGCGCGTACCCATCACCTCAGCCTGCCTCTGAGTCACTAGGCTGCCACATTTCCGCTGGGGTCTGGTCTGGCTCATCCCAAGCACAGATCCCTCAGGTAATCTACCCCCACAAAACCTGTGCTTCTCGAAGCTCCTTTTGCCCCTTATTCACCCCTCGTCTAAAGCTGTCTGGAAGCCGGGAGCCCAGCCCGTCAGCCTTCTAGAGAGCTTATTAAGAACCCCGGGGTAGAAAGGGAATCCTGCAGAACAGGACCCTAATGGCCCCAAAGCACCTGTGGGGCTCCGTGTCTGATGAGGAGGCCTGTACGATTTCCATGAGGGTTGGCTCGATGAGAGTGAGCACAAGCAATGATGCCGTTCCTCCCTGGGCACCAGATTCCCCAGGCCTATTTTTTTCCCCTTTGCAGATATTTCAAATCTGTCTGTGCCAACCAAAGGGAGTGATGAGGAGTCACGGTACACAATTAACCCCCCCGCTCCCCGCACCCCCCGACTTTCACAGCCAAGCCTCCTCCAGCAGTAACTGCGGAAGCAGAGAAGGGCTTGTACCAGGCTTCTTCCAGCACACCTGGAAACACTAGGAGACTGATACTATGTGACAGTCCCAACCTGCATGGACCAAAGAGCCCCGGTTTCCCTAGGATATTGCCCCGAGGTTTAAGAGGCCTGGGAAAACAGTTGGGGAATGATGGTAACCACACCACCCTCTTCTTCAGCTGAAGAACACGAAGCCAGGCAAGCCCTCTGTGGTAAAAGTCTGGGGACTTAGGTGTAGAGGGGACAGGTCCAGAGGTGGCAAGCATCCAACTTGTTCATCTGACCCACTTCCAATACCTTCATTGCTGGGCCCAGTACTGTTGCTGGCAATGCTGTGGCATTTAAATGGGTGACTGGCAGCAAACAGACCTGCCCACATGCCCCTCCCTCCCTGGTGCCAGCGAGAGAGGCCCAACAAGCCTCCAAGCCAGGGGGTGGGTTGAGAAGCACCCCAGGGCCCAGGTTCCCATCCTGGCAATCGGCTGTGGCCTGCTCGCCTCTATGACTGGCCCCGACTGTTGATTAAAGGTGCTAACTGAAACTGATTTAATGTCCTGCAATTATACTTGAGCTTAATTAAATGATGCCACAGCCATTAGAAATAGCCAGCTTCAGAGGTAGCAGCATCGGTTTATGGGCCTCGATTGCCAAACGCAAGAAACAAATGGCCTTCCATGTCCAAGTAATTGCCTGCTGCTGCATCTCCAAGGTAACCCTGGCGCTGCGGGACACATTCTCACGCTTTAATTAAAAACAAAGCCACGGAGCAGAAGGTGCACTGCTGGCCTGCACACACAGCCCTTCCAGCAGGAGGCCCCACCTCTGTACCCAGGAAGTAAGTCCCAACCCTTCCTCCAGGGGCGCTTCCAGGATCACTCTTGATAAATCATTACATCTGTGAGGGAACATCCGAGAATGGTCACGTCAGCAAGCCACACATGGCCACTAATGATAAGATGCCATGAACGAGGCTACTAATAAGATGACACTAATAATGGGGCCACTAATAAGATGCCACCAATGGGGCCCACTAACGGGGCCACTCATGATAAGATGCGTCAGAAGTCACTGATGTCCCCAAGTACACTTTGGCGACACTTGAGTAGGTAGTTAAGTCAGGGTCTACCTGTCTCACTTAAGCCTCATGCAGCCATCTGAGGCAGTCACGTCCTCTGTACCCTGCAGATGAGAACATGGGCTTACCCCACGTCACACATCCCAGGATCGGGGGCCAGGCAGTCCTGACTCGGAGTTCTCGCTCCCAGTTCGACAGCCTCTAACCGGAGAACAAGGTCAGGCTAGCCGCACCTTCCTATTGTCCTTCAGGGAAAGGGCAAACTCACCATGTGGTACCCCAACCCTCACATCTTCCAGGCACCCCTCTCTGCCCCCTCCTCCCCGTCCCGTCTACCTTCTTCACCACCCCCTCCTCCTCAAGCCTGCTGAAACTCCACCCCTCATCCCATGGGTACCACTGGAGCCGAGGGCCCCCACCGGGAGGCGGGGCAGGGCAAGCGTAGGGAGCACAGCAGAAAGGAGTCTACAGCTCAGCAGCGGAAACCGGCAATCCAGATAGCACCTTGCCCAAGCCGTTGCTTCACCCAGATGCCTCCCTTCATGTCCTGCTTCATACTGTTAACATCGCGTGTTGGCCTGGGTCTTATTTTGTTTTGTCCACAGCCGTTATT